ATAGTTTTCCAGCCTGCAACACCAATATTCAAGCCATTTTGCAAGTTCTGGAGCATCCAATCGCGCAGCGGCAAGGTGAAGAAATCGTGTTGTTGATTGGCGGGAAGCAAGCGCTGCCATACCTGAGTTGCCCGTACACAGTCACGAAGACAATGGATAGTCAATTAGTCATCTCGCCCACATAGTGTACAAGTCGAGGAATCCGTGAGATGCCGCCTCCGCCTCTCGACATTAGTGAGCAATTTTTCTTGCGCTACGAGCCAAAGAAATTGACGTATCCTCTGCGGACCGACCCATTTCAAAATAATACGCCACGAGATGCGATTACTCGTACTCGTCGGGCATACACGAAACAAAGATGAGTAGGCCGATTTTGTCGTAAAACATCCATTTTCCGAGAACCCCCAGTACATAGTGTCGGGCCCGGCCTCACGTGATGGCGGCAAGAAGGCTGCGATACGCATGGAGACGCCGGCCGGAACCAAGTGTCCAAATAATTCCCACCGCCACTGGCCCACGGCATCAACATATCTACTAACCGGCCAGTTTAGTTGATGCTCGGGGACCGGACTCAATGTCTCATTAATAAGGGGACGAGGGCTGTGTGTCCAGTTATCACGCCAAAAACGAACGGTGGTTTCATCCCCTAATGACCATCGCACTCCGTTCCGCACGAGTGGCCAGACCTTGTGCAACGATCAGAGGAGAGTAGAGCCTCTTGGGAACACAAAATCCGCATCCATCAAGGCAGGCACCAGTTTATATTTGGCGACCAAAAGTTGTACCCAGAGAGAATGTGATTTGGTCAAAAGAGCCCATCCTAACTTCATTAGAAGGGCAATATTCATTTCACGCTGGCGCTTGAGACCCAAACCGCCGAGCTCTTTAGGCTGACAAACCACGTCCCATGGCACAAGGTGGACTTTCTTGTTCGTACCATTACCGCCCCACAAGAAGTTGCGGCATCGCTTTTCCAAACCGTCGCACGTCGTAGTTGGCAACCAAGCTGTTTGCATAGTGTAGTAAGGTAAGGAACAAACCACAGATTGCGTAAGGACCAGGCGACGGCCAATGAAAGCGAGCTGGCCTTCCACCCGGCTAGCCGTGCATCTGCCTTTTCGAGAACATGTTCGTATGTGTGATTGGTAACCCTGCTGTGAAGGACCGGTATGCCAAGGTATTTTCCGAGATTAGTCACCACCGAGAACCCCATGGACCTAGCTAGTTCATGTCGATCTGCCGGATGGGTGTTTTTGGAGAAAAAAACATTTGTTTTGGCTCGGCTAACTCGGAGGCCAGATACGGAGCAGATAACGTCATCTGAAAATCTAAATTCACCAGAAAATCCGAGGGCTTCAACTCGAAATGATCGACCAAATCCACTCTTCTTTATAAATCTGTCAACTTTGGTACCGCTAATGCGGGGCTCCAACATAGCAAACACATCCGGGTTGTAGTGATTAGTAATCGTAGAGAAACTTTGGAAAAACACCGCCGAAGCTGCTCCTTGTACATTTCATGAAATAATATTCATCAGGAAACTCGTAAAGAAGAGTGGGACACCCGTCAGAGTGAACTTGGAACCTGAGAGGCTAACGCTGCCTCGTCTAGCATGTGTACATCATTCTTAAGACCCTCTTGTTGGCTTAGTAGTCGCTCGTCAGCTTGGAAGGGCCCGGACCCCTCATGACCGAGTCTTCCCCTGGGTCAAGTAAATCTGACATTACACCAGCCGGGGGTGTCTGTGTAGGGATGTCCACTACTTGGACGGCCTGGTGTTTAGACGGGTCCAAACCAACCGTTAGTGGAACTTTAACTGTCTGTGAAGATGTCGCAGTCTCAAAGGGAGCAGTTGATTTGCCATTATTTTGCTTTAGTTGCTCTTTCTGCCCACACTGACCGTCCTTAGTGACGGTCGGTTCCACTATCGTCCTGGCAATTGACCTTCCCGCAGTGGCCCATTTTGGTTTAGCTTTCCCACCTCGTCCCTTACCTTTCTTGCCATTTTTAGTCAGCACCATCTGCCATTCACCCTCACCCGATTTAGCGGTGTCCCCAGTTTTCCCCGACAAATCACCATCCGTCCTCTTGGCTTGAAAACTCGTTGCTGGTGCCTGAAATACATCTTTTCCTTTGGTCAGTCTGCTAAAAGCGTTGCCAGTCGAGGGACCTCCGTGGTTAGGGTCAGGCCTGATCCCCTCGTCATCCGCCAACGACGCAAATCGCGAACCCGAGGATTCACCACCATACTGTTTCTTATGGACGGTGTTGGGATCCGTCTTCCTGGTCCAAGGTTGTTGCTGGTTCCCCGTTTTAGCCCTCATCCACGGCCCGAATTGTGGCTCACCCTCTTCAGTTCCCGTATCGGACCGGTCAGTCCGAACGCAAGTGGTCGTCGTTGGAGGAGGGACCCCTCCAGCAGCTGTCGAGGTTTCGCCTTTGCTTGTGTCCACCTGTCGATTAGGGCAAGTCGTGATCAGATGACCGCAACGACCGCAAGAGTAGCAAATTTCCGGGAGCATCTCATACTCGGTTTTCTGGGTTTTCCCACGGATGGTGAAGTGAGTTCGAAGTGGGCTCGAGAGGTTTAGTTGAACTGCCAAACGTGCAAATTTCCCTCGAGTCTGAGCAGCAGTCTGGTGGTCAATCTTAAGCACCTTACCCACAATAAGTCCAATAGTGCGAAAGATTTTCGTATGATAGAGGTGTACCGGCAAGCCCGGCAAGCGGATCCATGCTACCGTGGAGGTGATCTGGTTGGTAGATTCGTCAAAGTCGTCCGTCCATTACTGTACATGAAGGTAGTGTTTATTAACCACCCATGGGCCCCCAACAAGAGAAGTGAGGACGTCGTCGTGTGAGCGGAGTTGGAGCATGAAATATCCATTCTCCGCATCAAGGATTGGACAACCTCGCACAAAAGGCCATAGCTCTGAAAGCTTACGGTGCAATGTCTCCATACGCATGTTAAGCCCAACAATTTAACCACAATGACGTTATCTGGCAGATCGACATGAACTAGCTAGGTCCATGGGGTTCTCGGTGGTGAAAACATTATCCAACAATTTGGATTTTGTTTTGACGTTATCTGAAAACATTTGTTTTTAATTTTTGGTTTCATTAAATTGAATTGTACGCGTTGAAAGTTGGAAAGCTACAGTAATTAAAGAAACAAAATATAAACCAAAGCAAATATTTGCCGACCCCCAATCAACTACCCACCCACCCATATATATAAAACACAAAAAACTATCCTTAATAATTGCCTTCCTTATCAGTATCCTGGTCCCAAACCAAAAAATAGAAATAAAATCACTTATTCAATAAATCAGACCAAAATCTCACAGAAAAAACCATTAGAAATGCAGAAAAGTAACGAGGAAAAGCTCAACGCCAATTATATGGTATCCTCAGAAGCGGAAATAAGTCAAGAATTTTACACACGTCTGAAGCTTAGCAAACAAGACGATAATGAAGCATCTTTGGATAATCATGGTGAAGATGAGAGAGAAGAAGAAGAAGAAGAGGAGGAGGAGGAATTTTCTTTCGTCTGCGGAGGAGCGAACACGTCGCCGATTGCGGCTGAGGACATATTCGTTGACGGCCAGATCCGCCCGGTTTATCCACTCTTCAACCGGGATTTATTCTTCTCCGGCGAGAATCTGCTCGACAGCTTGCCCACGAGGCCTCCGGTGAAGAAGATCTTCGTCGAGACGAATGAAGACGGCGGCCAGAAGGCGCCGTCGTCCCCGGACCGGAAGGCGGTGGAGGTGTTGCGGGATGTCTGCCGGAAGAGCAACTCGACCGGTTTTTCCAAGATCTGGCGGTTCAAGGATTTCCTGGGGAGAAGCAACAGCGACGGGAGGGACGCCTTCGTTTTCCTGAACAGCGGCCACGAGGCGGCAGCGGCCAAGGGGGAGGAGAACAAAGCGCCCAAGGGGAAAGCGAAAAAGGGGAAAACGGCGTCGTTGTCAGCACACGAGGTGTACCTGAGGAGTAAGGCCAAGGACGGGGAGCGGCGGCGGTCGTCATATTTGCCCTACCGCCCGGAATTGATGGGGTTTTTCACTAATGTCAATGGCGGATTGACTAAAAATATACATCCCTTCTAATTTCTAAATACTGGAAAAAAAAAAAAANACACAAGAGGTTTTTGCAAATGTACATTTTTTTTATTATAATTTAGAGATATATTTTATTTGTTTGTTTGTTTTTCTATATCTGAGCTTTCGTTTTCTGATAAAACTTTTGGCCATCATATATTTCCTATTTGGTTCATTGGTCTGTGATAGAGTTCCTGACGGAAAAATGGTTTCTCTTCGGTTTCTTGATTTGTACTATCCAACAATGAACAATGTATGAGTGTATTCTAACTTCCATTCATTGGGCTTGATGAGATAGGTTGTCTTGGCCTAAGAAGGAGGGGGTTTAGGTTTTAGAGATGTAAGAACTATTAATGAAGCTTTTATTGTTAAGCAACTCTAGAGGATAATTACTAAGCCCAATCTCCTCGTGAATAGTCTTTTTTTGTTCCTTAACGATAAACTTCAATTAAAATTTAAAACAATAGTAGTTCATACAAGCATAACCAACCGGTTATAAGTGCACTAATCCATCCTAAGATCGACTAGGCTATGTTTGGTACACAAATAAGCTAGCTTATAGTTTATTTGGTTAGCTTATAAGCTCCGTTTGTTACGACGAGCATTTTTAAAAAGCTCGAGCTTATTTGAAAAGCTTTTTTTGGTATCTTTTCAAATAAGTTAGTTGAAATTTTTATTTCAGCTAGCTTGTCAGTTAATTCTACCAAACACTTTTATCATATAAGCTAGTTTTTCAGCTATAAATCATAAGCTATAAGCTATAAGCTAAAAAATTACTGATAAGCTATAAGCTAGCTTATCAGCTAGTTTTACCAAACATAGCCTAACACACACGAATGAAAACAAGTTTTCACTCTCGAGTGGAGCACAACCACAATAATTCACCAAATACATGTTCTAATGACAGACCACAAATTCGCACAAAGGGATAGCATCTAGCAATGATAAAATATCTTCTCCATGGACCGTGTCCTCGCATGCACCTGTGTAAATTCCATCCAGTTTCATCTTAGTTTCTTGCATGCCCACTACACACACCACATCCTCCCAAGCTTCCTCAACACGAGTCTGCAGCAACCATTTGGTCTTCCACCAGTCTGCAGCTTCCTCAATAGGTTGCAGTGGTAATGTGCCTTCCCATAGTCTTAGTGTTATACCATTCCTAGCTGCTCTCCCTTGAATACAAGTCTCCTCTTCATTAGAGCTTTGGGCACTGACAGCTACACAAATCTGCCCTACCCTATAAGAAAAATGCTCACTTGAAGCTTGCAAAGACACCTGACAATCCATCTCCTCATTATGCCCAGCCCAGTCATTTCTAGCTTTATACACCACTTCCATTTCAGAAAACCACTTCTTTTCAAACATCCAAGTGTTCCTAGTCCTCAATAGCCACCATAGGAGGTATGTTGATAAGCTAATCCCTTCTTTTATGGCCTTGAATCCTCAGGAGGTCATAATCTCTGCCCACCAATCCTTGAAGGAGCACTCACCAGCTTCTATCTTTGTCCAATTAATACCTAGAAGCTTCCAACAAAGTCTGGCTCTACTGCATTTGAACAACATGTGCTCCAGGTCCTCTGCATCCTCTCCACACCTCTTGCACACCATATCCACCTCCATTCCTTTCTTTCTGAGTTGGCAGCTTGTACTAATGAACCCATGCCAGCATCTCCACATAAAATTCCTAATTTTGTGTTGAATAGGTAACTTCCAGCACCTAGCCCACATCCTCTTGTCCATAACCCTCTGTCCACTAGCTTCAGCCTTTCCACTGCTCTCCATTTGATTTTTCAGCAAAAGAGCATAACATGATTTCACTGTGAACATCCCTGATTTATGAGCATGCCATTGCAGAATGTTTATGTGCTCATTATTATCCACTGGTGTCTGTAAGATGAGGCCTGAAATGAAAGGGTTAAATGTTTGATTTATAAGCTCCACATCCCAACCCCTCCCACTCTCATTCAATAAATCACTCACCCACAATAATCTACTCTTATCTCCCTCAAAACAACACTCTAGTTTTTCCCCTCTCAGCCCCCTCACCCATGGAGAATCCCACACACTAACATTCCTACCATCTTCTATCTTGAAAACCATCCCTCTCTTCAAATCACCTCTGGCTTTCAACCAACTACCCAAACACCAAGAATCAGAGCTTTTCCTAGAAATCTTAAAGAAATTCTGACTATGAAAATACTTACCCCTCAGTACCTAGCTCATCAACAGATTAGGGTTCTTAAGCATTCTCCATAAATGTTTAACTAGAAAAGCCTGATTTAAGAGCCTGAGATCTCTAAAACCCATACCCCCACTCCCTTAGGTTTAACCAAAACAGTCCACTCTGCCTAGTGAATTTTCTTACCCCCATCCTCTCTTTTTCCCCACTAAAATGAAGCAATTTCTCTATTAATATCATCCCAAGTAGCCACTGGAATCTTAAAACAGGACATGGCATAGGTGGGGAGTGCCCCCAAAATAGTTTTGATTAAAACCTCCTTGCCAGCCTCACTCAATAAATTATTTTTCCAAGAAGCCACTCTTTTTTTACTCTCTCTAACACAAATTGAAAAGTCTCTCTTTTGGATCTCCCAATTCCAAGTGGAAGACCCAAATACTTAGAGTAATTCACACTATTAATCCCATTCAGAGCCACACAAATGTCATTTTTCAAGTTCCCATGAGTGTTTTTAGAGAAGAATATAGAAGATTTACTCAGATTCACCAACTGACCAGAGGAAGAGCCATATTCTGCCAAAAGACTAAGAATAAGGTTAGCATGGTTGACATCAGCCTTGCCCAACAGAAGTGCATCATCAGCAAATAATAGGTGGGAAAGGACAAGTGAATTTTTGCTGAGCTTGATCCCTTGGTAAGTAGAGTTGATGCAGGCTTTTTTTATCAGGTTAGAGAAGGCTTCAGAGAGAATAATAAAAAGACAAGGGGAGATAGGGTCCCCTTGTCTAATGCCCCTAGAAGGTTGAACAAACCCAAACACTTGCCCCTCAATATTGAAAGAAAAAGAAGCTGAACTCACACACTCCTTAACTCACTGGATAAAAATCTCAGAAAAACCCAATCTCCTACAAATTCTAAACAGAAAGTCCCATTCCACCTTATCATAAGCTTTGGCCATGTCAAGCTTGACAACCATAAACCTATTCCTACCTTTTCTCTTGCTATTAAGAAAGTGGACACACTCATTAGCCAAGATCACATTATCCAGGATCTTCCTTTCAGTGATGAAAGCAGATTGAGCAGGAGAAATACACTGAGGCAACACACTTTTTAACCTATTAGCAAGGAATTTAGAAATCACCTTATACACAACTAAACATAAACTAATAGGTCTAAAGTCTGAAACTCTACTAGAACTCTGAATTTTAGGGATCAAGGAAATAATAGAATGATTAATGCCCTTGGGCATCCTACCAGATTCAAAGAAATTACAGATGGCAGAACAGAAATGGTGCTTTAGAATATCCCAAGAAAACTGAAAAAAATAGGCAATCATACCATCTATTCCCGGAGCTTTGTCTCTTTCCATACTCATAACAACCTTTTAAATCTCAGTCTCATCCCTTCACTAATCAGCAGCTCATTCATTTGATTTGAAATCACTCTTTGAATGCCTTTTAAGCTGCACAGGTCAATATCAGGATTAGTGGATTGGAAAAGATTGGTAAAATACCTAGCCAACTCTTTAGCTTGATCCTGGATATCCTGACACATATCCCCACTCTCCTTAACCAAATTCCCCAAGCTATTTCTGGATCTCCTACCGTTAACACTGGCCTGAAAATATCTAGTATTGCCATCACCATTTTTCAACCAGGCCACTCTCACTTTCTGACTCCAGTAAATCTCTTCATTTTTATAAGCTTGAGTCTGAATATTTTTCCATCTATGCCACTCATTCCAGTCCCTATCCCCCCCTTGCTGACCTAACAATTCTAACTCCCTATTGCTCTCTTCAATGACTTTCCTAGAATTGAGCTTCTTAGTGGCTTCCCATCTAATAATAGCAAGTCTGACATTCCTGATTCTCTCTTCAATGCTAAATAGTGGTGGTCCATGGACAGGGATGTTTCATGCTTCTTCCACTACTTCCTTATACCCTTCCAATTTAGTCCATCTCACATCAAAAGAGAATCTGGGCTTACAGGGGAATGCAGAACAATCACTATACAAAACCAGCAAACTGTGATCATAAGCTGAAAGTTTAATGTGCTTAATCAGGGAATTAGAGAACTGAATCAGCCAATCAGGAGAAAAGAAAAACCTATCCAATTTAGCTTCCACAAAGTTGGTACCCTTTCTATTGTTAGCCCAAGTAAATTCATGCCCGCTAGTCCTAGTCTCCCCCATCCCCATATTCTGAACAAAAGCCCTAAAACCAACCATGCTACCCTCCTCTCTAGGCCTCCCACCCCTCTTGTCCTGGTTAGAAAGGATATCATTAAAATCCCCACAAATAAACCACAGTTTACCCCAATTAAGACTAAGGTTGAAAATGGTTTACCACTGCAGGTTTCTAGTAATAGGATCATTACAAGCATACACAAACACAGCCCATTGAGGTTCATCACACCCAACCACCAAAAAGTTCACTTCAAAACAGAAACCAAAATAATTAATGTACATGATAGTCACATTACTAGACCAAAGGAGAAGAAGACCCCCTTTAGTTCCATCAGGTTTACTATAAGTCCAGTTATCACAAGCTTTTAGATTTTTACAAACATTTTCCACAAATTTTTCTTTTTTCTTAACCTCAGACAAGAAAAATAAACCAGGAAGGTGGTTTTTCAAAACCTCTTTGCATTGGGAAATTGTAGAGAGTCCTCCCAGACCTCTACAATTCCACACAGAAACTCTCATTGGAAACTTTGGGACCAGTTATGGCTGGTTTCCTCCACCTTTGATTCAGAAACAAACAAAAGAAGGCATTTTAGCTTTTTTACTATCAGTATTACTAAGAACCTCATTGTCACCCAAAGCTCTCTTATAACCCCTTTGAGCACCCTCAACACTACCCTCTCCAATACTGTTAGTGTCCACACTCAATACGTTCTTGGATAACTTCAAGGCTATTGGGTTTTTTCCTAACAGTTATATTTTTCCTCCTCTGAATTAGCCTCTCAGTCTGTGGAGCAGTTTGAATGTTAACCTCAATAATGTTGTCCTGTCCTAAGGGAGATTCAGGAATATCCCCTACCACAGACACAACATGAGGTTGATCACCACTATTGCCCACAGGATCAATAGTCTCCTTACTACTCTGTCCCTTATCCCCTCCCCAAGGGTTCCACCTCTCTATCCCCCTGATTACCACTACTCATGGCACTAATACTTCCTTCCCTAGAAAATTGTTTACCCTGTTCACTACCTTCCTTAGCCTTAGGCAACTCTTCACTCTGTAAGCTACTCTTCTGACTAGACCTAGACCCTTTATAATCATGGAAGCTAAAAGAATAGGTTCTTAACCAGTCTATTGCCCTGATTTTAGCACATTATTCCTCACATCTTCTTTCTTAGTCTTACAGTTACGATCACTGTGACCAATTAAACCACAGTAGAAGCAACAACTTTGTAAGTTCTCTTACCTGAAATCCACTCATTTTCTTTCCTCACCCAGAGTAATGAAGGTACCTCTGACAATTGGTTCTTTCAATTTCAGCTCGACAAGAACTCTAACATCATTGCCACCATTAGAAGCCCCACCAGGGATGTAGACATCCATCACTTTGCCCAGCAATTTTCTAATTTCAGACCCGTTTTCTCACTTTTCCAGTGAAGTGGTAATTTTTAAATGTGGACCCACAGCCTGACTTTTTCATCCTCATCAGAAAACTCCACTGCCGTCGGGGCCCAGCTCTTCAGAAGGATGTACTGTCCATCAAACGTCCATGTTTTTCCATTGAGGACTTTATCCTTATCCGCTTCATTCTGGAACACAAACTGAAATTTGTTGTACCCAATATTTTTGACAGTGAAGGGTTGGCTAGTGTTCCAAATGCTGAACAATGTAGTTTTAAGCCCTCCAAAGTTAACTTTGTTTTGTTCCCCGTACACCTTGCCAATCAAACTATTTTTACACTCTTGAATACCAACAGCAACATCCTCGGCCAATAACAAGATCCCCAGTTCCTCTTTGTCCGAAAGCTGAAAACCCTGCATTTTATCCACCAGATCCGTCTCCATACCGCCTAAATACTACAACTACCCCCTAGAAAAGACGAATTGACCACGCCACCCCAGAAATTCTTAGGACCCTAAAGCACCAAGAACCTAGGTTTTAGAAGAGGTGAAAAATTTTAAGAAAAGCGCTTGGAAATTCAGAAGAGATCAAATCCACCGAAATGTAAGACATCCAGAAGGAAAGGAACACTAACATAAGAGAAGGGGGAATTAAAATAAGAAGGGACAGAACAAACTACAGATCCTAACCAAGGAACTATAACGACTTCAAACGGGAGAGAAACCCTAATTTACGGGGACTCTATAACATGAATAGAGTCATAAGGGTAGATACTTTGCCAATAAAAAGCTGTTTGAGGTGAAATCTAGAAATGGACTCTTGGTTATGGAAAAGTTGGCTAGAAATTATGGACTCTTTGGGATTAGGGATCAGGTTTAGAATTGGGGATGGTAGATCCGTGTGCATTTGGGATTCCGCTTGGATCCCAAATGTTAAGTCCTTTAAACCACTCTGCCATTTTTATAGAGACAGAGAGATTAAAAAAGGTGAGTGGCCTTTCCTACAGGGAGGGTTTGGGATGGGATAAAAACCTTATTTTGTAAAACTTTGATCCTAAAACAGCTTTAGAAATAGTGAAAATTTCCATCTCCTCTCAGGAGGTGAGGGACTTATTAGTTTGGCATTGGGGTAGTTTAGGGAGCCTTTTTGTGATGTCAATGTTTGAGGTCATCAAATATGAGAATAACAAGTTTAAGAGTGAGATGAAGGCTTGCAGTTATCAGAGCCAAATTCAACAAACGTGGAAGCTAACCTAGAAACTTCCTATTAATCAAAGAATCAAAAATTTTCTTTGGAAGAGCTGGTATGGGTTTACGAGTACTAAGTGTCAACTTCTCAACAAAGGAATAAGAGGGGAGGTGATTTGTGACATCCGTGGGTAGGGGGAAGAGGATATAAATCACACATTCCTCAGAAAACAAGAGATTGTTGGAAGTTGCTTGATTTTTTTATTTTTCTTTTTTATTTTTTTTTCAAACGATAAATGATCTCATACCAACGAAATAAAAGAGTACAAACCGAAGAGTTCACTAGCTCTTACAGTCCAACATACACCAAGAGGACATACACAAAAAAGGGACTAAAGGCAAATACACAGATTTGAGCCCTTCAGTACAACCAAACAAAACCATAACAACTTAAACACAAACATAAATGGGGCCACTGAACATAAGAACCTAGTCTCAACACACCCAAAAACTAAACTAAGCATCAATCAAACAGAAGTCAGACCAGTCACAAATGGCATAACGAACAATTATATTCTCCGGCATCCAAACCTTTTCAGAAACCCAGAGGTTGCGAGATTTCCAAAGCTACCACAAAATATACGTTGAAAGTTGTATTCGGGCTTCAGAAGTTGGAGAGTTATCCAATTCAGCTATACCCCACCACCATCTTCTGAAATTGGATATAGTAACAACTACAGGGTCCCATGACAATGGTGCCATCTTCCATACCTTTTTTGCTCTGGTGCAGGAAAACATTAAGTGCTCCAAGGTTTCCACATGATCACCACAACAATGACAAATATGATCAATTTGTAGCCCTCTGTTTCTCAGGTTTGCACTCACTTGCAGGTTGTCTGTGAAGCATCTCCATATAAAATGCTTGAGCTTTCCCTTCACCTTCAAGTTCCAGCACCTCATTCTTGATTTTCTGTCACTTTCAATAGATGAGCTACGTCCAGGCTAGTCTAGACTAAGGACTTTTTTCATGATTGCAACTGAGTATGCTGAGGCTACTGAGAATTTTCTTTTTGCATTTGCTGTCCACACCCATCTTTCCTTTTATGTTGGGTTCAAATTTCTCATTTTTAGGATATCTTGACAAGATTCAGTAGTGAATATAGATCGAATAAGATCTCTGTTCCATGACCTCCCATCAGCAGCCAGTAGATCCTTCACCCAAATCAATTGGAAGTCAGTCACCTCAACTTTTAATGTAGGTTTCCCTGAGTTTAACCCAACCACCCAAGGATGAGATAGAATCTTTGTACTTAGGCCATCTTTCACCTCCATTCTGAGTCCCTGCTTGTATATAGAAAGAACTCTAACCATCGAATTCCAGAGCCAAGAAGCAGAGTTGCTATTTTTTGCATCCAACACCTTAAGCACTCTAGTCATCAGTGAGTTTGGCTTTGTCAATAATCTCCAAATTTTCTTCAGGAGTAAGGAATCATTAAAGATCCTTATATTCTTAAAGCACAGGTCCCTAGAACTCTTAGGCACAGTGACCTTATTCAATGCAACCCAACCGATACCTCTCTTTTGATCAGCACCACCAAACAACCAAAATGTTGCACTTAACTGAGCTATCTCCTTGCATATACTGACAGGTAAACAAAAGCAAAACATAACCAATATGAATTATAATAGCTTTTAACAATACCTCCTTCCCAACTGTTGACAAGAACTTATTTTTCCAGCTAATAAGTCTCTGTTTCACAGCAGATAGCAAAATTTGAAAGACTTCCTTCTTGGATCTCCCCAGACCCATAGGGAGACCCAAGTATCTAGTGGAATGACACACTTCAATCCCTTGCAGAGTCTGAGACACAACAAGTTTAAGAGTCTCAACATAATTTTTACTGAAAAACACACATGATTTGGATAGATTAACCCTTTGTCATGTGAAGCTTTGATATACTGCAAGTATTCTCAACAAACTATTAGCATTGGGCACATTTGCAACACAAAAAAGGTAAAACATCATCTATAAATAAAAGGTGTGACAAAGTGGTGCCACCCCTAGTGATTTTCAACCCCTGCATCTCCTCTTTACTGACTGCATTTCTGATCAATCTGGAAAACACCTCAGACCTCAATATAAATAGATACGGGGATAATGGATCCCTTTATCTGATACCTCTTGAAGGAGTCACAAATCCAGTCACCTTACCATTCACATTAAATGAGTTAGCAGCAGATGTCATACATGCAAATATCCACTGCACAAAAGACCTATGAAAATCCATATGCAATATTATTTTCACCACACAATTCCACTCCACAAGGTCATAAGCCTTCATCATATCTAATTTGACAGCCATAAAGCATTTATTCTCTGATCTGTGTCTATTTAGAAAGTGGATCACCTCATGTGCAATCACCACATTATCACGGAGCTGTCTTTCGGGTATGAATGCAGATTGAGTTTCATGAACACAAAGTTTCAAACAATTTCTCAACCTAGAAGCTAATATCTTGGCAATAATTTTATATGTGAGACATCACATACTAATTGGCCGAAAATGATTAAGAGAGGATGGATTATCACATTTAGGGATTAATTTTACAACAGTGTGGTTCCAACTTGTCAACATTCTACTTGTGTCAAAGAATCTCACACAAAACATCTTTTAAGAATGGCCAAAAGTTTTGGTAAAATAGAAGGGTCATACCATCATTCGCTGGCGCCTTATTTGGATTCTTAGAGAACAGTGCTGCTTTCAATTCAGCTTCATCCACTGGAGCTATCAAATTAGAATTCATCTCTTTTGTGATGGAGTGAGGGATAAGATTAAAGATTTCAGCCTCCCCCCATGAACCTTTTGGTTCAAATAGATTATTATAGAAATTGATGATAGAGAATTCAATATGATCCTGAGTATCAACCACTCTGTTTTGTGCATCTATCAACCTTGTGATTGCAATCTTTTTCCTCCTATACATGGTGATAGCATGGAAAAACAGGTGTTCTTATCACATCCTTCAGTCATTGCAGCCTAGCTTTTTGACTCCAGAATTCTTCTTCAGCAAGGCGTGATTGGTCAAGCTCCTTCTTAATCTTCTCCCATTCTTCCCAATTCCTTTGGCCTCCCAAAGCTCTCATATCTTCCAATATCCGAGTGAGCTCCTCAATTTTCTTGACATTATCAGATTTTATGAGTTCATTCCACCTCAGTAGGGCTATTATAGTTCTTTTAATTTTTTCTCTCACTTGCACCATAGACATCCCGCCACCTCTTCACTCCAAGCTTTTTCTACTTCTGCAACACAACCTTCAGTCTTCAACCACCTATTGTCAAACATAAATCTCTTAAGAATCTTGACTTTATGGAAACCAGTGTCTAGAATCAGCATTGAGTGGTCAGGTGAACTTCATTGAGTAGTAACTTTGGCCCCCGGATAAGCAGATAGCCAAGAATAAGACCCAAAAACCCTGTCCAACTTCTCCACAAATCCCTCATTGAGCTTGTTATTACCCCAAGTATAGGGATATCCTTCCATAATAACCTCCACCTCCATCATTCTCATATTTTGCAATGAAGTTGTTAAACCCTTCACAGCTTCTAGCAGATCTATATCTACCCCCTCTCTTATCATAGCTGCCATAAAGATCATTCCGATCCCCCCTATACACCAGTTATCCCCACCATAAGGCTCTCCCTTGCACCAATTCCCTCCACTGCAACTCCCTTATGTTTCTATCAGTGCTACCCTACACAAGAATTAGCCATTCTGAGGTTAGTATTAGCCTGATACTTAAATTGAACTTGTAGACTGAATCTCAGCTGCACCACTTGAAGAACCTCCACATCCCTACTCCTGAGCACAAGAAAACCCCCACTAAGCCCTAGGGGCTCTACCACTATCTTTCTCTCAGCAAATCCCAATTTCTTGCAAACTGTATCAACAAAACATTTCGATTTTCTAGTTTTAGATTAAAAGACAAAACTTGGGAGGTGGGCCTTAATGGCATCCTTGAGTTGGAAAACTGTAGAGGACCCTCCCATACCTCTACAGTTCCACAAGATTTTCGTCATTTATCAGGGTGGGGGCATTCGAGGCTGGCTACCCCCACCTGTTCAAATTGTCAGTTTGTAGTTTGGTACATTGTCTCTTAACATGATCACTAGCCCTGGTCTCCTCTGCTTTATCTGTCATGTGCCTCTGTCTTTTGCCCCTACCTTGAGTTTGTTTTTCCTCCTTTGTACTTGAGGTTCTCTTAAGTCTTCCCACAACCTGGCATTTTGTCTTCCATAAGGTTGTGCTCTGTTTGACAATTTGACCCCTTGAATTCTTCAAAGTTGTCTTGTTTATAAGCACAACCTGTCCCTCTTCTTCAATTTCCATTGCTTGCTCCTTGCCATGTTTTTTGGTACTCCCCCTGTCCTCCATAACAATAGGGTCCTTGCACAGACGAACATTTTTACTTGCAATCTGAGTATCAGTCTTCTTCACACTAGAGGTTGCCCCCACGATTGGGATTAAGGCTGCATTAAAGGCACTCCCTTCACCCATCATTTCTGCAACATTTTCCTTTCCTGATGATCAAAGTTACCCTTGATTTGGAAAATTACTCTGCCCATTAGAGTTGTGGAATGGATTAGAATTGAAAGGAGAGCTAGTAATTCTCCCTAAATTGGCCCTCCACTAATTTCCCTTCCTCGATATGACATAACCGTCTTTTACAGACCCTTTCCAAATGTCCCACCAAACCACAATAGAAGCAAAAAACTTACCAGCTTCTCATACTAGAATGATACACTCATTTGTTGATTTCCCATTTTGATGTGAGTACACCTCGGTAGAGGCTCTGAGATATCATGAGATACCAGAAGTCTAAGAAAGCTGCCTTGGGTCCCCTTTTCTTTAACTACAACCACATTCTTCATTCTCCTTAATAGTTTCCCTATCTTAGGCCAACTTCTGAGCTTAGCCAATATAAAGTGAGTTTATGCATTTGCACTAGAGGGTAATTTATTTAAAGCCATCATCTTTCTCTGAAAGACCTTCCCTCCACTCCTGCAGGACAAGGTACTGATTTTCGAACACACAGTTTACACCAGCCATTACTTTCTCCGTATCCTCCTGGCAACCAAATATGAATTGGAAGAAATTTGGCCCCAATTCTTTAACTTTGATCGGTTGTACAGTTTGCCAGACAATGCCCATGGTTCTTTTGACATCGAACTTACTTGCCTTCCTGTTCCAAATTTTTCCCAGAAGGCTTCTTTTGCATTCTTCTTCGCTCAATCGAACGTCCTCATTCTCTAATTCAAATATACGGTTTTCTTTCGCAGATAGATGGAGGTTATGAAGATAATCCCCTAAACCATTTGCCATGCCCAACCCTAGATAAGAAATCCCAACTCGTCCTCGCACCCCAAAAGAGAATCAAACTTCACTGCACGCCCTCTTAAGACTGATAACCTATTGATAACTAAAACAAAGCACAATTTGGCTCTTCATCAAGAGAAATCTGATAACCTATTGCTTGGGGTTAGCTGGGACAATATTGAGAAAAATGGGATTTAGTTTAACACTTGGTGGGTTGAGATCTGCAACATTAGAGGGGCAGAAGCCATCATAGATAGAATAAGTCTCTCAACTTATCTTCTATGGTAGCTTTTCCTAAGACTAGGAATCGGTGGGTGTTTGAAAAAAAAGGTGGTGGAATGTGGAGAGGGTCGTAACCAGTGCTAGAGAAGATTGGTCAGTATTCAGTGTTTGTGTTGATGATCTAACAAAAGAGAAAAAGGGAGAGTGGAGAGCTGAAAAGATCAGTAAGGGCGGTGGCCTCAAGGGATGATGATCATAACAGTTAGCCTTTAGTTATTAGAGGAGGATATGCAGGGATTTGGGAGAAGAGTGTGCAGGGAGTTGAAGACTAAGCACGTGTGGGTTGCATCTAGGGACTTCTCAAGGCGTTTAGTAGAGACCAACAACATAGCAGTCATGTGTGTCTTGAAGAAGGCAGCATATCATCTATTGAAGAACATCGCTTGCATCCTTCAGTGCAAGAAGACTGTTGATACTCTGAACAGGTGGAAGAAACAAGTGGATTCTGATGGTGATGAAGCTTTAGTTTTTCTTTCTCTTTGTTCTTAATTTAGTTATCGTTCATTTTTCTTTGTTGATTTGGTTTGCAAAGTTAATTTGGACATGGCCATGAGGCTCTTGAAGGGAACAATAGTTGATTCCCTATAGTAGGAAGTTGATCATTTTGTGCTGGAACAATTGAATATGTACCCAGTTGGGTACCGGTGTTTTCTTTTGAGTTATTATAAATTTTATCGTTTGTCGTTGGGAAAGGAAAAAAAAAAACATTTATAGACATAATAAAATGTAGAATGAATTTTTTTTTTTTGGTTACATCTTAAAATGGTTTCCTAAATATAACATAGTAGAGGATAAACTATGTTAATAATCACTGTTATTATGATAAATAATAAACATCAGATAATAGAGATCCATGACTAAAAACAACAACATATAAGTGACTCTGACTACAACATATCATTGTTTTCATAAAACGTATAAAATTAAATACATTATACTTAATAAAAATACATTAGGTTCTTCTCTTTGTTAACCGGTCTATTCTAACTTGTTTTGTCTATTCTAACTTGTTTTGTGTATTTAAAAAAAAAAAAAAAATTATGATATTACGGAAAAAAGTATTTGTCACATTAGTAACATTCCTTAAAACTTTTTCCTAAAAAATGTCTATATAGTAGCATATTTTTCATCATCACTGAAAAAATAAAGACATTATTAGTATGGGTTGGGTTCAAGAGAATGATTCTTAGTGAAAGAAATAAGGATACATCGTAGCCATTCGATTGGATGATCCAATGGCTAAACAAAAAACCCAAAATATACCTTCATTAATAGGCAATGTATAATTTAACACATCCCAACAGTGGGACCCACAACACACACTAACTCACATGTGACACGTGGCCACAAATCTCTCTGTCTCTCATGATCTCTCTCTATCTCACACACAATTCCCACACACACTGACACACACATTAAACACAGATACACGCATAGATACACATACATACACGCAGATCCCTTCACTGTGGCTCTCCATCGCCGGCAGTCGCCCACCATCTCCAGCCGTCGCCCGCTACAGCTCTCACGGCAGCATCTCCACCATGGCCCCTACTCTCGTCGGCTTGCCGTGACTGCCATGCCATCCCGTCGCCTAGGCGTCGCCGCTGCACGTCACCAGCTACAGCGGCCGCCGGACATGGTGGAGATCCGAATTGCCGGCTTTCTGATTTTTATCAGAAAATATACATTGAAGATATGACAAAGTCTCCAAACCCACGAACTTGTTCAAAATTGACGCACAAAAAATGGGGAAAAGTAGTTAAAAACATGAAACTGGCAGTCTCCAACAATAGATATGATATTCTAGAAGAAAATGACCTCCACAAGTTCTTACAGTATCATCAGCACAACAAGATGTAAATGTCTATTGGCACCAAATAAATCTTATCATCAGAGCTACTGATCATCTTTTCTAATAACAACTCAACATTGCATCCACTCAATCATCATCATGGCCCATTTTTTAAGTATACAATAATACAAAGTACATTAATAATCTTAAGTTAAAAATAATATCCATTGAGTTTAATCTACATCCGGGGCAAAACCCTCAAACACCCAAAGCAATGATTAATTGTTCATTTTCATCTACTATACTCATACCTCTGTTCAACTCAATTTTCAAAGAACAAATCTTCAAATACCATTACACTAAGCTCATCCAGATTTCAATCAACAATCACTCGTAAAATCCAACACTAGCATAACTAACGATACTCACAGAGCAAATGGTGCCGAAAGGGGGTCAGCCAGACCACGCCTACCACACAAACAAGAAAATAATAAATATACACCACCAAATGACCAAATATGGATAAATATACATATATTTGTTTTCCTTTTTTCATTGTAGTCAACAAGAATCATGATCACCCAAAATCTTGTTGCTAGACGGTTTTCCAATCTGCAAGCACAGAACCGGAGGGAATGTGGGAGTGAAAAGCTGGCCGAAAGTCTGCCAGCAAAAGGGGTCGTTAATCATGTGGTAACCCTCTTGTTGTGGAGTTAGTTTAATGTTCGTGAGGGTGACATCCGTACAGGGGACATTATCACTGCACGCAAAGTGAAGGGGTTTTACAGTGTAAGTTCCGCGTATGTTCTCATAGTTGATTCCTGATAGTGAGACGGCCGATGTTTGATTTTTGCATTTGGACTTGTCGCAATAGTATTGATCGATCACAATCGGGAGTTGGACTTCCGAAACTTGGATGTTGGAAAATAGCACTCCTCGTACGGATCCCGACCCACCCTGTATATGGCCATTTTTATGTCAAACAACCAAAATTAGAAAAATAAAGGCAAAAATGCATTTTTAGTCCTATTGGTTTAACGCCATAGCAATTTCAGTCCCAATGTTCCAACTTTTCGCTTTTCGGTCATGTCATTTAATATTTTGCTGCAATTTTAATCATTTGAGTAGTGAAATTGCAACAAAAATTTAATTACAAGACTTAAATTGCTAATAAAAAATTCATCCCAAAGATATAAATTTGGGAACATGTTGCAATTTCAGCCCTCAAAAGACTGAAATTGTAGCAAAATATTAAATTAGAGGACCAAAAGGCACAATGTTAGAATCTTGGGATTAAAATTGCTATGACGTTAAACCAGGAGGACTAAAAATGCAATTTAGCCAAAAATAAATTCATGGGTATTTTGGGAATTTTATTGTTGTTTTATTACCTGCCATGTCTTTATTCTCACACCATTCATGGTGTTGTGCATTATGACATCTCGGACGGTTATGTTTGACACGCAAGCCTTTGTGTCATCTTTTCCGAGTCCTCCAATGCTAATGCCGTGTCCAGGGCCACAATTAATGTTGTGTATGTACACGTTTGTGCATCCCGTTTGTATCGATACACAATCGTCCCCTGCAAATAGATGCACACAAAAACTTTATATCGAAACATAAATAAAGGGAAACACAGTGTCAAGGGAAGAAACTTTTATCGATGGGATAATTACAAACTCCCACATTAGGTTCCAATTCACTAGACAAATATTTATATTGATGGGATAATTTGAAATACAGAATAAACCCACGGGCTATATCAATTTGAGTAGACCTAAGGGCAATCTTAAAGAAAGACAATTAACATCTCTGCTGCAATTGAATCCCGAGCATATCTAATTTCTTTCGGTGAGATTTTTTAACACAAATGTTTTTGTTTTCTGGTTTTTGCTTTTGTGGGGCTGCAAACATCTACTCGGATTTCCGTTTTTACTATAAAGACAATGACAAATGTATGTGAACTGGGGCCAAAACCTTTTATGGAGAACATGTGTGTTCATGTGTATGCATGAGTGGTCAAGGATGTGGCTGTTATACGTTGCGCCTAATAGGATAAGATATGTAACACAATGGATCACAAATTTGTCCTAACTAACCTCCATGCATCAAGATAATGATAATGATAATAAAAATAATAATAATAATAATAGTAAATACATATTGATGAACAAAATTTATGCTTCATGGGATCAAGAATTTACAACAAACATATATATATGGGTAAGGTAAACAATCAATTGAGTAAAATAATTCACCCAAAGGTTAGAATTTTACCGCAAGCAAGATTTGAGCTGCGAATGAGCACATCTTTGGAGTTCTGCAAATGTATTCCATCAGTATTTGGGCTGTTGCCCGGGGACGAAACCGTAAAATTGTACACAGACACTCCAATGCAGTTGTCAAACTTTAGATGGCACTGCGCGCTGTTTTGGATTGTGATGCCAGTGACTGTTACATTAAAACTCCCGTAAAACCTAAGTGCCTGCATTTTTTCAAAACAATATGCACGTATTCTTTATCAACTATCACATTTTAACAAGTGAATAATAAAAAAATTGTTTAATCCTTACAGTCGGTTTTATGCTCGGCATTTTGCCACCAAGCGAGCTTTCTATCTGCGAAAACCGGGAATTTGGATCAGAAACAAANCTAAGACAAGCTACAAACGTATGGTCAAAATTTAATTACGGGCATTGGAGGCTTTTGTGTGATAATTGTGGAGTTCAAAGGGAAGATTAATTTGGCTTGATCATCAAGAGGATCTTCGTCAAAAGGAGAGCTTTCCCACCAAACGGCCCCATTTCCATCTATTAAGCCGCTCCCTTTGATTGTGAGCCCGACAAGTTTGGAAAACTCGAGCCATTGGAGAAGGCCCGAACCCCAAGGGCCCGAGCTTTTGGGGGCAATTATTGTGCCATCCAACTGAGACATTTCAACAAACACCTTATGTGCAGTAATTTTTTTTATTACAAACTTGAATCAGAAATCAAGACAAAATGGAAACAAATATTTACCTGAAAAACAATGTTGTGCTGACAGTATGGGCCGGAAAACGAAATGGGGCCCACCAGAAATACATATTCTGCGGGAACATTTATTACAGAGGCTTCAACCTTGCAAGCAGCTGCCCACGCAGCTTGGAATGCCTACGTTTAAAACAATAAATAATAATATTTATTATTTATTTTAGTAATATTGTTGGAATTATGAACATCCATAATAATATTATTAGTAAGGAGAATTAATTATTTACGTGGTCCCCCTTATTCCCTAGTTTATTTATTCTGTTGGCAGTTAGTAGTTTTTCCTACTCATAATTGTTTGTTTCTTTTCGCACTATATTTGTTGCCAAACAATACGTGGGTAGGTTGTAGGCCTTAGTGAGTACTTTATCAACCAATCCATACATGTAAAGATAGAATTATTTCACGAGGTACCTTACTTTTATCCTCAAATCATGAATGAATATTTTTTGTCCTCGTCAAACTTTAATAGTTGGCTCACGTGAACCAGAACAAAACACTAGCGCAACCACAAAATTCGCCATTGCAACAAATTTCAATATACTCCCTAAAATATTTACATTAGTGAAGAAGACAATGATTAGGAGGTAATTAAAAGTTATATATACACCAAATTATTACGCCGTGGCAGATGTAGACTCACAAGACTGAGGGAAAATCGATGTTGACTTTTGTGGAAAATCGATATAACTCATTTATATATGTTGCCTACAACATAATACAATTATAAAATGCAAACAACTTATATTTTAAGAAAATCTCTATGTCATTATTAATTATTTTACAATATAATTATATATGTACTAATTGTTTTTTTTTCAAAAAAATTGCACAGTGGCCCGTGCCCCTGCCTAGGTCCGCCACTGAAATTACGCATTAACTAATTTGACATTTACAATAATTAAAATGAAAAAATAAAACAAAAAAAGAATTAGAAGAGAAAAAAAAAATGCAGGGACTAAAAATATTTAATTTTTTACCTTGGTGTCATCTGTGCTTCCATCACCTTTGGCTCCAAAATCCAAGACATGAAAAACATTATGTTCATTTTCTTGAATAGGACCAACTTCCGGTGGCGGCAATGGTGGCGGTGGAACTGCCGGAGGAGGGCTTTTCACAGCTCCAGCTGGCGGCAATGACGGCGGTGGAACTGCCGGAGGAGGGCTTTTTACAGCTCCAGCTGGCGGCAATGGAGGCCGGGTTTTGTGTTTGTACTTGTAACCTTTGTGACTTGAGCTATGGCTTTTTCCCTTTTTTTTGTACAGAGATTGTCTCCAATGTCTTCCAACTCTTCTTGCATTACAAGTCTCCATGTTAGAAGAACAAATGACTAGGACAATGCAAACAATGAATGTCACATTTTTTAAGCTTAAATTATACATTATTAATATTATTATTATTATTTCTTTTTTGGGGGAAAGTGTGAGAATTTTCTTTCTAATACTTTTCCTGTTTTGTGAGTTGGGTTTGAGAAAACAGAGGAATGGCTTCATAGCCTTTATAGGAAAGTTGTATGTGTGTGTGTGTGTGTGTTTTCTAAGTGTTGTGGACAGTAGTCAATTGGTTTCATGATGGAATTGTGTGATTCTACGCTTTACACTCTTGGAATTAAATGTTAGGCACTAGTATTTTGTGAGTTTTTGGTCTATACTTTTAATGTGATGGTCCAATTTTGGCGTCTGTAAATTTGTTTGCAGCTAAGGACACTTCTGATAACTATCCATGCCAATGCCAACAATTTGGTTTGGGTTATTTTACTTATTATTATTGGAGGGTTTATTTTGGAGAACTTTTTACCGCTAATTATAGCATAAACCACCAACTATATATTTTTTGTGGAAAATAATATACTGGTGTGTTTGCATCCAGGGCCGTCTCCAACATTTTTTGGGCCCAGAGCGAAAAATAAAATTAGGTCCCCCTAATTACAATATTGAATAATATATTTTTAATATTTTATTAATAACAACTTCCACTTCTCAAGTAGGAAAGAACCTCTCCCGGATAGACAAAACACAAAAGGCTCTTTCTATATATTATTATATTTTTTATTTATATTATTATATATATAATATTATAATATTTATATAATGGGCCCCAATTAATTGGGGGCCCTGTGCAGTTGCTCACCCTGCTCCCCCAAAAGCCGGCTCTGTTTGCATCTCAATACTAATTTAGGCTGGAGAAATACATTTTTTTTATTTTTTTTTCTTGGCTTGAAAATTATATTCATGATATTATAGTTTATATATTCGCTTAAATTAACGTTAACCTTTTTTACACTTTTTGAAACTTAGTAGTGCATTGCATTCTGTAGGATTTCGTGGAATAACCCTGTTTTAGTTAATGTATGATAGTATTAAATCGACACAGTATCACAGTTTGAATTATAAGAATATAGTAGGAACAAAACATGTGAAATGTATGTATAATTTACCACACAAACTTGGTGCCTCTTTCTAAATTATTTCGAGTAATCACAATAATAGTAATTAAGTAAAACAAATTATAGCAAACTTATTGTGCATGAGGCTTATAGCAAACTTATTGTGCATGAGGCTGATTGGAGTAAGTAATACATGAATTCAATTGAAATATTAATTAGAATATTTACATACATCTGAATCCTATCTGTCAACAAAATATATGCTTCTTACAGTAATTAATATATTTAATAATAATTTTCTATATAACAATGAAAATGTTATGATGGCTATTTGATGTTAAAGATGAGCCAAAAGGACACGTGAGTGGGTCTTTAAGTTGTGAAAGGCACTGATTACAACTCGTCTTTTAATCTTCACATGCAACTTCACGGACTTCAGTTATGTACGTTGTCTTCTCGAGAGGGAAGAATTATATCATGAAAGCTAAGTCAAATTCCAAAAGATTTCACCCTGTTTTATTGTATGTGGTAACGCAAAACACTCCGACCGACTTGAAATCAGCTTGCCTCCTTCTTCCTCGCCGGTAGAACGCCGCGTTCCTGCACAAAACTCTCACACCGGAGGGGTTTTCCGGTGAAGAGTCTCCGATGCTTAAGTCAGTATGTGTTTGTTCAATTTTCCAAAGTAAAGAATGGATAAATCGTAAGCTACAATAAAAGACCCACTCCCATATATATAGGAGTGAGATACCTGCCCTAAAAACTGCCCGGCTTTTGGTGAGCTGTCCTGCCCGTACTGCCCGTCCGTACACACATAGTGTGTGTGTGTCAGAGATGTCAGGGGTGGTTTTCGCCACTATCACTCTGCACCAATATATTCTCGCCACGTGTCCCTCTGAGCTGAGGGAGATTATTCTTCTGCGCACGCCGTTGGGATCTTCTAACGTCACCCACGCTCCTTCTCGCGTTCAAGCCACGCTCTAGACTGCTCTTCACCTGTTGAGTGCTCGATCTCCTCCCTTTTGGTCGATCCTCGATCAGTTCTGCTATTCTGCTCGATCTCCTCCATCGACCAGTTCTGTTATTCTGCTCGATCTCCTTCTTTTTGATCGATCATCATTCTCCCAATCCGGTTTTCTCCACTTCGAGGTTGCTCGACCGATGATGTAAACCGGTCTATTCCTCAGCTATATAATATCCCATATCATCTAGTCCCCCCCACTCTGGTCGAGTCTGAATGACTCGATCTAAGAGTGGATTCGAGTTGTCCTCTCCATTCTGTCGATCCTCTCGGTCTCCCACTCGCACCTGGCCTCTTCTCTCGATCATTTTTATTGATGTTGCCGCCTTTCCTCGACCACGTGGTCCATTTTAATGCGCACTATAACTGTTTTTTATTTCCTTTTATTATCAGCATAATCTCCGCATGCCACATGTCCCCTCAACTCTGTATCATCGCGCCTCCTCGCGATTTGTGTCTCTTCGTTATCTGCGCCTCTTTAATTTTTTCCACCGTTGGATCTTCTTTTATCCAACGGTCATATCCCCTAACTCTTCATCTTATTCATTTGTACTCGTATAAATGCGGTACTTAGCCACTTTTTCAGCTTTCCTCACTTTTGCAATTTCGAACTCCCTTGCGCTCTGATTTCTTTCTCTGCAAATTCCTTCTTCCTGCACTCGGCGTCTTCTCAAGCAATTTCCGGCAACCACTTCTCTACTGCAACCATGAGTAAGTCTTCTGTGCTTCAATTTTATATCTGCGTGCATTTATTTTGTCAATTTTCAATTTTCCCTGCTACTTCTTCTTTTTCCCTAATCCCTCTCATCTCGTCTATGGCAAAAAAGAAACTCCTTCTTCGCTTTCGAAAACCCTAACTCCATTTCTCTTCCCCTGACTTCTTCGTTCTACTTTTCAGATTCCGCTGACTCTAACTCACCAAGCCACCATTCTGTCGAAGACGAGATCGCCACATCATTTCCCTCTACTCGTCGGCCTATTCCTCACTCGCCTTCCCGTTCCGTCGAAGAAATCTACAATCCTGCCCCTATCAGTGTTCTACGCCCTTCCGATTACGCCACACCTTCTCCTCCTCGCCAACCTACTCGTCTGATTGATGAATCGGACGAGGATGCCCTTGACCATATCCCTCTCAATCGCCGTCGACCGGCGTTTGGGGCCTCTGATGTCGTTGAAGAGGCTCTTGATGCCGCTGAAGCCACTGCTGAGAAAGACGAAGATAATATTCTCCTTTCTCGCCATTCTGTTTTTTCTCGGGCTACCTCTTCCCCTAACCTTAAGAGGGGCGCTTCGAAATCCTCAACTGGTGCCACACCTCTTGCCTCTTCATCTATCCCTGTCTCTACCTCTCCTAAGGCTGCCCCTAAGAAGGGTAAGTCGACCAAGGTGTCTACTTCTTCCAAGAAGGCTTCTTCTTCCTCTCGTTCTCTCATAGCTGGCTGGTTGGATGCCGAAGAGATTGGCTATCCTACCAGCTGGGCTTTCGTATCTCCAGGCCCTCGAGACACCTATGACAATCCTCCCCAAAACTGCTACACTTTCTTTGAGATTCAATTTAAACTTGGCATTCGTTTTCCCTTAAGCCAAGATTTGGTCGATCTTTGTAAGTGGTTCGACCTGCCCTTGAACCAACTTCCTCCTAACGCCATCCGTTTTATCACCGTCTTCATCATCCTCTGCCATATCCGTCTAGGCCGGCTCGACCTAGATTTCTTCCATTACTGCTATACACCCTCCAAACATGCTCAGGAGATCTACCTCAAGAGCCGCAACGATGTCCATTTCATTCGGACACTCCCTCAAACGTCCCCAGGTGGAAAGAAAAGTTCGCTTTTGTCGAGCCTAAACCTGCTTTTCCCTGGGCGTCATCTCCTTGGCTTAAAGAACTACCGCGCGAGTATTCCATACCTTCAACCAACGCCCTCTTCGACCAACGGATTGCAGTATGGAACAGCAAACCCGTCGCGTCGAAGACTTTGCTCGAGGATGAGGACCTCTTGCATTTCTGTGGACTACTTACCCATAAATCCTGTCCTCTCCCCAGTCAGAAAACCCTCGATCTAATCCGGATAGAGGGTGACCCAGGTATGTGTTGTCATCGGACTAGCTCGAGCATTATCATGTTTGCTTCACATCATTACGTTTGTTCCACATATTATTTATCTATTATGGCTTTAACTTATGCGTAAATTTTTTGCAGAGATGCCTGCTATCTCTGTGCCCAGGAGGAAGGCTCCTTTGAGAAAGAAACAGGTCGCTGAGGGGTCAGGCTCCAAGCCCGCTGACTCGACCACGTCCCAATCCATACGCTCGACCTCCCCTCCTCCGGACATAACTGTCGAGCAACCCTCTTCGCTCAATTCTCCAACTGAGCAGCCCATCGAGCAGTCAGAACAGCTCGAGAAGCCGTCCTCTCCACCGCCGTCGTCTCCTCCGCCGCGCTCTCCTTCGCACGACCAAACCATCACTGTTATACACATTCCCGCTTCTCCGAAGCAGACTCGGCCTGTGGAGAATCCACTTAAGCGCCCCTCTGCTGAGGGGGACGAAAATGTCGGCAAACGGCGTCGTGTCGGGGAGACCTCCCTCTCGATCACCTCGTTCGACGGTCCGAGGTTCTCGAATTACCTCAGGGATGTTCTTCCCTCCGTCGACCACCCTACCGATTGTTACAATGACGGTCACACCTTTCGAGACCGGGGTGATCGAATTGCCCGATGGCTGGCTCAGGTAACCTACTATAATTTTAGGTTTATCCGTTTTATTTCATTTCTTTCTCTCGTCGGTGCTCTGATATTCTCTTGTATGTGCCCTTATAGGGCATGGTCGAGCTCGCCCTGCTGATCGAGCAAACGTTAGCCAGCCCGGGTCGGTCCATCTCCGCTCTTGAGCGAAGTAATCTCCAGCTCGGCACTCGGCTGGACGAGATGGTCGTCAAGGCCAATGCCCTTCACGAGAAGGAGAAGCTAGCTCGGGCCCGTGAAAACGTTGCATTCGAGCAGAGGGCTAAGCCCTTGGTCGATGAGGCTGCCCTTCGAGCTCGGTGAATGGTCTTTCACTCGACCGCCGGTCGACGCTTCCTACAAGCTTACCGCGAGCAAGTGGTGGCTGCTTTCAAGCAGTCACCCCAATATTTAAAAGATGTGTAAGATTATGGCACTCATTGCTTTGGGGCCATCATGCAGCAAGCCGGGGTCCAGGTAGCCGAGGACGGGTTCGAGGAGTTCAACATGGAGACCATATGGGATGCTATGCCCAAGGCTCCCGTCGGCTATCAAAGTGCCCTCGACCTGCCCGGCGACCACGACTGGTGGTCAGGCCTGCTCGAGCTCGTCGTGGATCAGGACGACTTGCTGAAGCGCACTTTCAAACTCCCCGACGGCTACATTCCTCCCCCTGCTCGACAAACTCAGGCCGTCGATGGAGCTGGGTCGACCTCTGGTTCGAACCAGCCGACTGAGCTTGTGAGGCAACAACTCGAGCCGCCACCGGAGCAGGCCTCCAATGACCCCAACCCGAATGCTGCCTCATAAAATTGTAATTTAATTTCCATTGAACACTGTACTCCTTTTGCGTTAAATGAATATCATTCACGTTGAAGTTTTCGAATTCTCGTTATTTCACGTTGTTCGCCTGTCAATGTATCATTGTGTATGGTGTTTTCATTATTCCTCCTGAGTTATCTCTGTGCGTCGATATCGTTTCTACCATTTTTTAAAGTCACGCCATTCATTCATTTAGCTAATCCATATAAATTAAATGAATCCCAATGACTTTAAATGCCTCCTGGCAAATGTCCACCTTCAGAGTGGTGATCATTAAGTCCGACCATCCAGCCTCTCGGCCTTAATCATGATGGATTTTTTGTCTTCGAGCACATGTCCACCCTCAAAGGGGTGGTCGTTACATGCGATCATCCAGCCTCTCGGAGTTAATCATGATGGATT